CTAATAATGTGAATTCGGATTACGTTTCTTGGCCGCTAGGTCAAGTGGTAGGGGCTCGGGCTTCCACCCAAGTTTTGCTCTTTCATTAACTGTAACACGCAGCAACTTTGGAGAATGGGTGCTCTGTGCGTGAGAATCTCCACATGAGTGTGTTGCGGAGTTGTTGAGCAAGGGGTTCAGGTATGTTCAGATACAGTGTGACTCGACTGTCGCAAAACATCACTTACCGTGGCGCACCATGGAATTTTCATAGAATCACGTTGCGTGTTGAGTAGTTGACATACTTTACCGTTATGTTTGTTGCTGAAACTACAGGTGCAACGTCATTCTCTTTCCTGTTTTCAACTTTATATACTGTAACTGCTTCTTCCCAGATGAAAACAGCACCTAGCACAATCCTGACCTCAATTGGGTGTGGGCCGTGATCGATGGGCTCTGAACCAACCAGCTCAAGAAACAAGAGGATACCAGCTGAAGAGTCAAAAGGTTGAGTACAGCCAGGGAATGAGGGAGAACCATCCACAGAGATTTGTAAGGGAAGGCAGGGGAACAAGTGAAGGCCCTGTTGTCCCAGAAGACTATCAGCCATTGCATCCGTTCTGCACTAATCCGTTTTCTCATGTTTTTCAGTAATGCTTTGTTTGTAGTCTAAAAATATGTCGAAGACCAAATGGCAAATGTCTCCGTCCTCATCCCTTTTCCTTTCCCCCTGACAACTTTGCACACAACCCATTGGGGTCAATAAGTATTGATTTTCTTTACCCTTCACTGTCCTCCACAGAGTACTACATCGTCCGAGCACAAACATAGGTAACCCCTCACAACCCTATAGACTTCACACGGATTATCATCACATGCATCTCATGTTATTTCACGACAATACCTTTTCTCGTTGCTTACCTGTTTAACATGTGTGCTTGTGTGCATACATTCTAGAGTCAGGGTTGCCGACCAAACTTTCAGACAAAGGTAGGAGAGAGTTGCATAGGTTTGCAGTCAACCACCGACCAAGGCGCTGCACTTGGATGGCAACATTTCAGAGGTGTGCTGGCTTCTGATAAATACGTGCGTCCGATTTATATAACTGTTGAGTTGATTCTTTCGCCTCCTGATGCGTGCCAGGCCAGACTCGTCCAAACAATGCTGCAGTTGTCTTCGCTTTGGACTACTCAGCCCTACACTGCCTGCGCACTTGTATCCACATAAGTACAGTAGATAGACCCCACCAGTAGCAGCACTTCCAGACCCCCCCGCCTTTGCGCCTGGGTTAAGAATGTTGTTCCTCATCACACGCAAACCTTGACTCTGGGGTCAGGGCGTTGTTTCCTGTTGCCTGTGATTCCAATTTGAATGAAATTGATTGAAGTAGAACTCGCAGGTCGTGTCCAATCCTCAATCTCCTGATTTCCACTGAACATTGTGTGTGTGGTTACTTTTTACGTGTTGCAACGAGTTCATCTAAACACAAATGTAATCTCTGAATTCTATCCTCTGGCGGCCGTCCCTGGCACTCCGCCCTCCGCGCCACTCCCCGCCACCACCAACTCAAGTGTTTGTGAACTTTGAAATGCATTTTGCACGCAGCCTGAGGACTGCGTGTCTTTTACGAACCTGTGACAGTACAAAATGATGCCACTACACTGTCATACTGGGGTTACTCAACAAATTCTAACTCTGTGCTGGAAACTGTTCATAAATGCTATGTACTGTACTTTTGGTACTTCGAGGAGACACCCTCATCGCCAGCAATACCTAAAATGATCTTACATTGGAAAAGGAAGCGTGCGGCATGAACAACAGCCAAATTCTTGGATTTATATACGCCCACGACCCAACTCCCGTGTCTTAAAGCTTCTAAAGGAGGTTTGCTCCGGGTTTACGCAAAATCCAAATTGTTTAGCAAACGGTTGTGCAAAAACAAAAAGGCGCATCTGTTGGGCCTACCAAATGCTTGGTCAAATAGGCCGCAAGCCTGCCAATACATAGGTTCAGCGATCGATGGATGAAGTTGTTTCGGTCAACATGAGTCAACATAGACAAAAATATTCACTGTCCTTCGCCACGAGCAGGCCAAACACTACCAAAAGAAGGACCTGCAAGCATCCACCAGTCATGGGCTCATGGACTTCAAAGAGCTTTCAGCACACACTCTCCCAAGTTTTACACACAAAAGGGTTGTTAAACATACCTGAGAAGGGAGGGGGCAAAAGCCAGCCTCCTTAAGAAGACATGAGTGTGGTTATGAGGTGAATTCGACACCGCACTGGGATTGCTGTCAAGCATGGTGAAATAGAAGGCAAGGAGGCGGAAAGTCTTGCATTGAGGGCCGATATGATAGGCTCTTTGTACACAAGGTGTTTGATCAAGGCCCATTTGCGGTTATAGTCATAGTTACAGGATAGAATTGGAGCCCATGCTGTAGGAGACAGGTTCAATCGAGCAGGACATTTACAGTCGGGAGGATAAAAGTTGAATGAAGCAAGACGTTCACAGGTCGGGGGGGGCGCCCTTTATCTTTTAGTTTAAAGATGAAAATGGGCACCCCTAAGTGACCGAGGGGCGCTTGCCTGGTGTTGGTTTCTCCTGTCTTGTACCAGGACTCATAAACTCGGAGGTGTAGTCTAAAGTTTGCTGCCAAGATCCCACATCGAGCCAAGAGTACTGTTGTTATGCGGTGAAGTCGACATTGCACGGACCTCTGCTGCCGTTAGGCACGGAAAAATAGAAGGCAGAGAGGAGCAAGGTCTCGCATTGATATGATAGGCTTGTTATACACAAGGCTTCGATCAGGTCCGTTCACTGTTAGCGGATATACGATAGAAGTGGAGCCCATGCGTTAGGAGAAAGGTTGAATTGAGCAGGACATTCACAGGTCGGCGTTGCCTGGCGTCTGTTTCTCCTGTCTTGTACCAGGACTCAAAAACTTGGCAGTGTAGTCTAAAGTTTGCTGCCAAGATCCCGTGATTGCCTGACATCGAGCCAAGATTACTGTTGTTATGCGGTGAAGTCGACATCGCACCGCGGGGAAGTAGAAGGCAGAGAGGCGCAAAGTCTTGCATTGAGGGTCGCCATGATAGACACTTTATACACAATGCCAGGCCCATTGACTGCCATGCGTTAGGACAATAGGTGGGGTAAGGCTGCGCGTGTTTGTTGACATGTGGACGCTTGAGTGAAGTTTAAATTTACATTGCTATACGGCTATACCCGAAACTACTTCTAATTTAAAAAGGGGGGGCGCGGGGGAGGACGCAGCGCCTACCCTGCAATGCAAACCAGAAACAACAGCAGTCGGACCGGTTCATAACCATGGCACTGTTGGTTGGTCTGTGGTAGTGTAACTTGGCAAGACCAAAAAAGACAGATGTCACGCAATTTCCCAAAGGAATCTTCCTTTGCTAACTGCAACGGTCTCTGCGTTGCGTATCTGGGCAAAATTTTGCAACTGCCTTCCTTTCCTTCTGCCTTCCGTCATTCCCTCCTTCCTTCCTTTCCTTCCATTCCTTCTTTCCTTCCTTCCTTCCTCCCTGCCTTCCTTCCTCCCTGCCTTCCTTCCTCCCTGCCTTCCTTCCTCCTGCAAGCTAAGCCTTAAAATGAACATATCCCATTTGAAAACAAAAACGACTAAAATACCCCCCGCGCGCAAAACCGCGTGACACAGCGGTATAACAACAAACGCAATTTGGCCACATGCTGTGCCACAGACTATAGATACAACAGTGTAACACCCGCCATTCATCCCGCTCCCCAGCGACACGCCGAATGTACACCAGCGTGTTTTCCTTCATGGTGTCCTTCCTCCAATGGCACGCACTCACGCAAACGCACTTTCCACTGAGGCCGCACAAAACTGCGTGGCACAGCAGTATAACAACAAACACGACTTGGCCACACGACAGTACTGGATACAACAATGCAACACCAAGCCTCGTGGACACCGCCAATCATCCCGCTCCCGGCGACGCCCCGAATTTACATCAGCATGTTTTCCTTCCCCCAATGGCACAGACTCATGCAAGCGCACCCCCCACCATGGCCGCCCAAAACGGCATGGCACAGACAGTTGAAGTTGGTCGCCGTTCCTGAAGAAGAACCCTTCCCAGGTGCTTGCGGGAAAATTGTGGTTGCCAAAGTTTCGGCCAAGAGATTTGCTCAGACTGCTTCTTGGTGGCCCTAGAATGAAGCCCCTTTTCTACACACGAGCACGGCAACTGTTCAGAGTGCGTGCACAAATATTTGAGCACTGTCTAGAAAGAGCAGGGAACACAAAGCTTTAGCTCGTTTGTGGCATAAGAATCTGGATGCCAAAGCAAACCTGAACACGTTGAGCTTCACATCAGGGTCTGGTAGACTCTGAACATGATCAACCCTGGTCGACAGAGCAATCCTGACCCGAAGCACATGGTTCGACAGTTCAGATAGCTAAGCACAAGACAATACTGGTCCATGATGACTGCCTAAGCTTAATGACTTGAAATAATGCACCATTGATGTGTGACAGACTGAAGAAGCCCACCGCGAATCTTGAACTCTCGAAAATGCAATTTGCAGCTGTGCTGCCCTGGATGCATCCAGGAGTCTGCACCTGGAAGATTCAGAACACATCGAGGGCCAGCTGCCTCAAGAAGTTCAGATTTGGCAGTTCAACATGACGGCTTCTCATAAACGTTCTGCATTCCTTACAATTTCCTAAAGGAATGTCCACATCAAAAATCCAAGCTATGTTGGCTCCCACCTGCATCTTTCTCTGGCAGGCAGCCAAGCGGTCTCGTGTGTCAGTAGAGTGCAGCAGTCGCTTCCTTGTCGCTGGCACAGCTGCCACAAACTCGGCAAGCACAAAGCTGTAGGAAGTGTAGAAGGGCGCCTTCCCGGCTCGTCCATGACAATAGCTCCAAGCAGCCAGAAGGAAAGTTGCTGGGCAGTCGGGCGGCAATGGAAATGCAACTGTACTGAAGTCCCAAACGACTGCAAATGCTCTCCAGCCTCCAGGTCTGCAGATGTTAGTGTCCCAGGCCTGAGAAGATCTATCTTTTTGTTGAAATCCAACAAACTACTACCACCAACCAAGCATACCTGGGACCTAGCTCTCATTGTCTGAATGGCTGGAAATATACACATGCCACATGCCTTCTCCGAAAAGCTGCAGGAATCTCACCACATTGTTCAGCAAAAGCCTTCAGGACACAATGATAGTAGCAAGAGTTTCATGAAGTTGCAAGAAGACAAATGAGCAGAAACCTCCACTCACCTACATTCATAAGCAGAACAGTCACAACAAATCGATTGAATATATGTTGCCTTTGTGTCGCCTCCTGACACAGACAAGTCCAGTGGATGGTCAGATATGTTGCAGGTATGACCCAAGCGGGAAACGCAAAGCTTTATTTCGGCCAGTTCACTGGGAATTCCGCAGTTTTGGCCCCCTTGCTACGATCGAGGCAGGCTTTAATTTTAGTTGCGGTCGAGTAGTGAGTAGTACTCCGTCCAAGGGATAGTGAACAGGCAAATATACAAGGGAAGTCAAAAAATATCGGTGGCTGAAGCACATCCACGGCACTGGGAAGGATTGCAGCCTTGAAACTGAAGCTCTGGAAGCACAACTTAATCCTGTATTGAAGTCATGGTTCAAAAAGGATCTGTTCATGTTTGTCATGCTGTACAGAAACTTTATACAAGGTTGTGCGAGGGTTCGCCCATGTCGATGCAGAGGCTCAAAACCCGCATTCGCAAAGCATGTACTGTGTTTTGCACTAGCTTTAAACAAATTGACATAGAGGTCTGCGTTGTTGCCTGCAACGCAACAGCACATAAGTCTTGGTGCGGGTGGGTTTCAAGGCGCTCCTTTCTGCAACCCATTACATGCTTGGAGACCAAAGACGCTCTTGTGAAAGCATCTTGGGCAACTCTTTACGAACATTCAAAATGGCGTGCCAACAACAAGTCTTCAGGAATGTAGAGTACCGTCTGTGTAGAGCCACTCACAGTAAATAGATGCTTTAGAATACTCTGTGAACCTGTGCATAAGTTCCTCTGACACTTGAATAAGACAGCCAACAATACATTGTTGCCTTCACCAAACACCATTGCCCCTTAGGCTGGACTTTCACATTATGCTTCATGACGTATGAAATCCTTCTATCGTATCTGCATGTTTGCCAGGTACAGGACGGCAAATCCTGCCTGGCTATTGCCATTAGTGCTTGATCAACATTTATCTGGTAAGTCATGATAGTTCCTGGCCACAGTGTCCAGCCAGTTGACTTATGATGCTCTCTCAGCTTACAAGGAAATACAGTAGATACAAAGACCAAAATGTAACGGTCCCAAGTCCAAAACAAAAACTACACATCTCAAAGCAATAGTAAAGTCAACAACGTTCCACTAAGCACCATTTGTATTCGTTCGGGACACGGCTTCAGGGTCAGACATAAAGCGCTCCAGGCCCCAGCATTCCGCGCTGCCGGTCCAGGAGCTGCAGGGAGAATGCAACAGGCTCTTGGTAGCACCCCAATGTCAGGCTGCTTGTGTCACTGTGTTCCATTCAACAAAAGAAACAAAATACACAAGAGAACATTCAGATATCTCCTGAAACATCTCATGTCAAACCAACGAAGGTCACATCCTGCCTCAATGCACTGGTATCCGATGGCCGAGGCTGTTTCCTACAAAATGTCAGTGAGATGTGAACGATACGAGCGAAAGCTGTAGCCTGAGCGAGCCTCTTCAGTCGATTCTCCTGAAGAACTGAAATGCAGCTTGAAGAAGCAACCTTTCCGCAGTCTGAAGGCTTTGCACTTGGTAAGCAGTCCTGAAATAGACTCTACCACCAGGTCATTCAAAGGAAGAGGGGTATCAAACATAGCCTGCAAAAACATCTTGCATATAATACAAAGCATTCACAACACAACACAACATCGTTGATCCGTATGGAGGTTGCCTCGTACTGTTTTTATGTCTTTCATCATAGTTGATGTCTGTCAATGTTGTGGTGCAACTCACAACTGTAGCACAACAAGAATGCATAGCAGCTGACACAATCCACTGTACAATTGCTCTGTGAAGTTTGTCTGGGCAAACCAACAGAACAGTTAATGGTTTACAGGTGCTTTCGAGTCACGCACTTAAGCATATTATATATACTGTATGCTTGCCTTCGAGCATCAGCAAGTGAAGCAGGGAAAACATCATATAATGTAACAAACACAGAACATAGCCCTCTACACAACACCACATTTGAACCTGCAGACACATGATACATCTTCATGATCAACTCAATTACTTCCTACAGTGACATGCCTGCCAACTCAAAAGTAAAGAAGCATTATCCCAAGCCTCAAATCGACCAATTTCAAAGCCATCCTGTGCAAGAAAAGCATGGAGCCCACATTGTGGCAAAATTCTGCATTTGTTACTTGTGGCTTCTAGCTTCTGGTAGTATTGCCCTTGTTACTAGTAGCGATGCCGATGCCCTTGTTACTGCTTGCTGAGCAAGTTAGTCAAGCTGAACAGCGGAACTTATGGGAAGCAGACGCGCGACAAACTCAAAATGGCAAGTAGGTAGAGTGACGAACAAAAATGAAAGCGCTGGAAGGGCACATGGTGAAGAATGTGTATGTGAGAAAGTACACTTGAGCAAACAAGGAAGAAATCATTGACAATCGGCAACTGCCTATATATATATATAAACTCAGTCACAGGCTCTTTTCCACGCGTTGCAGCAAGCTTGTCAG